ACCTATGGATGAGGACAGTGGGTGGGGAGTGAGGGCGGAGGGTGGGGCGGGAACTGGGAGGAGGGGAGTTATGGGGGAAAAAAGAGGAACAAATGTAATAATCTGAACAATAAAGACTTATTTAAAAAAAGTCTAATAGTCCTACAAGCCTTAAAAAGAAATCCAGCAGACTCTGCTCTATCCCTTTCCACATTTAACTCTTCTGTTTCTATTGGTATTTGTCTCCAATTTCTAAATAATGTGATAATGAGCTATTTCTTGATTTTTCTATGTTAGATAATATTTATTAGCTCTCCTATATCATCAGTCCCAAATACATACTTCCTTTTTGCTCATCTTCCCTGTATAGTTTAAAACAATTTGTATATGGATGATGGACTAATATGGACTTTTATAGTGACTATGTCATTATTGCTCATACTTGAGCCATGTACTGTGCACTTTCTTGTTTTCCCTGAAATTAGTAATTGTCTTAATTTTTTTTTCTACCTATCACTCATCTTTTTTTCTAGTCTCCCTGTAAAACTGAATGATTTATCTCAAAATGAGGAAACACATCCATTAATCTCTTAGTTCTGTTTTTTTGCCTCTCCATGGAGACCTCCCTCCTGGAATGCTACCTTTTTTTTTCTTTCAAGTTTCCTAGGATTTCCTTCCCCATTATTCTAATAATTTTCTTTGCCTTTTTCCTAGGTTTGTTTTCTATTTCCTGGGTTCTTCTTGCTTGCTTTATTTTGTCATTTTGCTGGAGCACACCCTCCAGTGGCTTACAGAAAACATGTACATAGCATTACATTTTTGAGACCTTGAGTGTCTGGAAATGTCTTTATGTAGAATGTTTAGAACCAATTGATCATTTGGTTAGGTGTAAAATTCTGGAAAGAAGTTAATTTCCCTTCTACATGACATTACTCCATTGCTTCCAATGTTATAAGGAAATCTGGTGCTATTGTTATCACACACCTTTGAATTGACTACACTTCTGCCAAAGTTTGCAAAATATTTTTATCTCCAGTATTTTGAAATTTCACAATTATGTAAATAATGTAAGACTTAATTTATTCATTGTGCTGGGCACTCAGTGGCTCCTTAATTGGGAAACTCATTCGATATCCTTGAACTCTGCTAAATTATATTCTTTGGTAATTCCATATGTCCATTTCCTCTAGTCTCTCGTTCTGGAATTCCCATGTGGTTGGTGCTCTATTTTCTCCTTCCCGTTTTCCATTTCTTTTTAATTTTGAGAGATTTCTCTGACTTTTTTGATTGAAAACTCATTTCTGCTATAATATTTTAAGTATTGAGAACTTCATCTTCTCTTCTGAATGCTCTCTCTCCTGCCTCCCACTCCCTTTTTATTGGTACAGTATGCAGATGTAGTGTTCAGAATGCAAAATCTTCTCCAATCTCTGAAGACACTAAAGCTTTAAAATTTTCTTCTGTACACTGCATTGTTTCTTTTTTTTAGAAATTAAATCTTTATTGTTCAGATTATTACAGTTGTTCCTCTTTCCCACTCCATAGCTCCCCTCCACCCATTTCCCACTCCACCCTCTGCCCTCACTCCCCACCCACTGTCGTTCCGACCAATGTCTGACAGCCCCGTTTCTCCCGTATGGGTCTGGGTCCCAGAGACTCACTTGGAACTGGAGCTCAGAGCTTGTGACTCCCTCCCGATTGAAAAAGACAACCCTGTCCTCAGCCGCCAGCCCTCTCTGCATGCGCATCTGTACCTCTGTATTTTACTTCCGCACCGCACCTCCTCTGAGTCTCAGTATGCTTTTCTCTTTCCTTCTAGTTGTAGAATTTCCACTCGGCCAGCCTTCCTGTTGTTCTGGATGATGTCCGTTCATTCTTTTAGTTGTATTTTTGAAGTGGTTGTATGAGGCAGCAATCTCCGGTGTTTACCCTATGCCGCCATCTTGGTTTCTCAGGGCCTTGTCCACGTTGTTTCTGCTTAACTTTATCAATTTGTTTATTTTGGTTTTGCTGGAGGCTTTCTTCAAACATCTGGTGACCTTTGGCTGTATGTTCATATTTACTACTAGACCACTAAACTTCAACCGAAGGTACTGTGCTAAAGCAGAACTCATTGACAGCAGACCCTATAGGGTTATTGGTGGTGCATCAGTTGGGGTTTCACATGAAACAAATGCCACAATCTTTCAGAGAAGCCAAGGAAAAAATAAAGTTTGAAAGGGAAGGTTGAAAGGGAAGAGACAAATAATGAATAAGTAAGCAATAAGAGAAAGGAGCAAAGGGCAGGAGAGATGACCCAAACCCAGGGAGAGTAGCAACATGGAGCTAGCCACCTTTCTTCCTGTTCTTGGATTTCCTGCTGCTGATGCCTCTTGTTGGCCAGACCAAACCTGAGAGCATGAAGAAGCGCATTGATGGAGTCCAATACAAGTCAAACTCCTAGGGCACTAAGCAGGGTGTGGAAGGTGAAGGTAGATTTGAAGGTGTGAAAAACATATTCAGGACAGATATAGAACCAATTTGATAGAGGATCCCAAATGTTAGTAACCCAGCACAGTACCTGGCATATATGATAGAGTATTCAGTAAATATTTGTAGAGTACATAAATTAGGCAAGTAATGATAATATAATCAATGACTTTGAATGCCATAAAAAAGAAACTTATGCAAGTTTTCAACTTAAAAATAAAATAGGAAGCTCTTTTGAAAAGAAAATTTTGTGAAGAACCTCAAAATAAAATCTATAACCAGATAAAAATAGTTTTTCCCAGTTGAATCTGGGCTATAGGTTCTGGCACTCTGCTCACTTGGCCTCATTGTTGTTGGGGAGCACACGAGACTAGGTTGGAAAGTTTGTAAGATGGACATTCTGAGAAAAGGGAAGTGTGTGGAAGGACACCTGCCCTGTTTATCAGAATTCCAACTTAGGGGAGACTTAGGGGAGTGTTGAAGGCGGTGCCCCTAATTATTCCTGATCTTTCCAAACAAGTCTGTGAATGTGCAGACGCCTGGGTGTTTACTGGATTCCTGATGCCTAATCTTTGGGTGCCCTTGCCTTGAGGAAAATGCAAACACATGTGTCCTCCCAAGATTACTTACCCTACTGATTGTATCTAAAGATAAAAGCCTAATGTCGCAGGCAATCGAGGCTGCCTGGTTGCTATATCCGGGCCGTCCCTTAGCCTCTTTTTCACAGCAAATGTGTGTCAGAGTTATCCATTCATCTGTCACTCAGGCTCTGCTGGCCAGCCCTGGAGCCCAGCAATGGTTACCTCAGGCCTCTCCCATTCTTTCTCTGCCCCATGGACTTTTCAAAGGTGCCTCTGATGCGGCTGTGAGAAACCTAGTTTGAAAACCACTGTTGCAAAAAATGGGAAACACATCACAGCAAAGAGGAAGAAGTGTATCAGGTGGGAACGCCTTAGGGCCCTTTCCTCTTACCCTTCCTGGCTGCTCTGCTCTCCCTTGAAGGGGATGGGCCTTAAGTCTGAGCAAAAATTGCCTCACTCCACAAAATCTCTCTGGTATTTATGAAATATATGTACTTGAAGTATTTCTTTGATTGTGTAGTCAGTGTTCTATAGCACATGTCCACATCTCAAGACTGTGGAAATCTGAGGATGACTGTGCAGTGGAGCCCGTCATTTGTCTGTAGATGGCATTTGAAGGGTACCCCACAAATTAAGGTAACTCTGAAGTGAAAAGGAAAGAACAAAAATGTAATGAGTATATTTTTACTTCTGGCAGAGAATTTGGGGAGAACTTAATAGTAGGTACATAAAAAAAAACTAAAACAAGCAAATAAACCCACAGTGATTAACAACAGGGAAAATAAAAGTTTGTAGAAAAAAATGTAACCATAGAATATTACTTGGTTCAATTTCAGCTGGGAATATGAAAAATGGGAATTGCATATATGTGTGATGGTGGTGTTGGGCTGTGTGTGTCTGTGTCAGAGAGAGAGAGAGAGAGAGAGAGAGAGAGAGAGAGAGAGAGAGCACATTAAAGATGAGGACTGATCTTTCAGAGTAAGAATTTAATAGGTGATATCTTAAACTGAAAAAAATCAAGCATTAATAGTACAAACCTGTTCTTTAGAAATAAAGAAACAGCTAAAAGAGATGAAAGTGGTTACTTATGGAGAGCAGTTATCATATGAAGGCTCAGGGAACATCATTGTCATTATAAATTCAATCCCCCCTCCCCCCCCTTGACAATACTATTTGAAATGATGTTTGTGTATAAATTGGAAAAATGTGAAGATTAAATTTTTTAAATGTAATAATGGGATCAGCCTCTTGCAGAAATGGCATAATTCAAAAAAATAAGAGTAGGATTCAGCCATTTGAGGAATAGCTGTTAAATTAATTATACCATTTACAGCTTGTCTTTTAGTGATAAACTTTGGAAGAGTCCATATTAGGAATTCTGGATTCTAATTCTGATATTCACTTACTATGAGATCCAGGAGTACAAAGTCACTTCTCTACTCACTTTCTGCCTCTACTAAACCAGATTAATTATGTCTTCTCTACTTGCTACATGAGGTTTTGTAAGGAAAAAAGAGAAGGAAACAGTGGAAAGAAAGAAAAAAGAGAGCGAGAGAAAGAGGGGAGAGAGAGTGATGTGAAAAATAATACATTTGGCGGGGGTGGGGTGGGGTTGAAGTCTGAATCTGTGCCAGTAACCTAATGTACACTCTTGATAGTGTATAATTAAGTCACTGCCCCTTTCTCCACAATCTGGTCTTGCAAGACCGGTTTATCTAAGTACTACTCCCATTTTTCAGAGGGGGTACAACCCCTGGAGGGGGTTATCAGTACCGGCACCAGGCCAGGCCTTTAGGTGTGGTCTCAGGGCACCCATCCCAACACATCGGACTTTTTCCAAAGCCCACGAAAGGTCTGGAAGTTCCATCCCATATTTGGGGGACAAAGAAACCAAAGGGTATAAAGGGAAAGCTTCTTCCCTATTGGTTTGCTCATGATTTGGAGAGAAACAGTCTCCCCTGCATCCTGTACTAGTACATGCGAAACATCTGAAAATAATGGGTATTTCCTGTGCCTCCAGAACTCCTGCGTATTTTTCAGTCTCCTGGTAAATACTGTAACAAGAGAAAGAGAGAAGAGAGAGATGAAGGTGTTTTCGAAAATTTGGAACTGAAATACAAAAAAGAGAATGTGTGTGTGTGTGTGTGTGTGTGTGTGTGTCTTTATTATGCCCTCAATATCCAAATGGTGTGCAGATATAATTAATTACTAGAAAACATTATTACACTGTATGAATATTGTTTTGTCAAGTATCCCTGAGGCTCATATATAAATAAATGTGGCAGTTGATCCAAAGATACTGATAGCCTAGAGCAGTGGTCAGCAAACTGCAGCTTGTGAGCCACATGCGGCTCTTTGGCCCCTTGAGTGTGGCTCTTCCACAAAATACCACATGCGGGCGCGCACATACAGTGCGATTGAAACTTCGTGGCCCATGCGCAGAAATCGGTGTTTTGTGGAAGAGCCACGCTCAAGAGGCCAAAGAGCCACATGTAGCTCGGGAGCTGTAGTTTGCCGACCACTGGCCTAGAGGAAGGGACCAGATGTTCTTGCTGGTTCCCACTAGGCTGCCTCTTAGCTTCTGATGAGGTTCAGTATTGTGTCATGGTGGAGCCTCTGCCCACCAACACTAGTGGCCTCTCAAATGGTAACTTGAATATATTTTGATGCTGAAGAGCTCCCTCTCTATGGAGGACAGTAAGAAAAGGAAGGGGGGAAGGGAAAGCAGCATCTCCCTTCCTGTCCATATGCAAATACAGCGATCTATATAAAGAATTTACGTTGTTCCTTAGGGAAAGCTGGTGGCAGATGTCACCAAGTGCCTGGGTGTGAAGCACGTGGTGTTCAGCAGCCTGGAGAATGTCAAGCGTTTGACCTGCGGGAAGTTGGCAGTTGATCCCTTCGATGGGAAGGCAGAGGTGGAGGAGTATTTCTGGTCCATTGGTGTTCCCATGTCCAGCATCCACTTGGCAGCTTACTTTGAAAACTTTCTCACTTTATGGAAGCCCAAGAAAGCCTCTGATGGAGATTACTACACCTTGGGTAAGTGTAATTTGTAGTGAAAGTTGAGCAGACACCTGCTGTGCTCCCTTCCTTGTCCTTTGTCCCCTTCCTCCCTCTTTTCAGTGGACATATATCATTTGAGTGCCTACTATGTGCTTACCTGTGAGGGAAGTGCTGAGAGGGATACTATATTGTTTTAAATTTCACAGAGGACTGGTTCTTGGACTGGAAACACAAAGGATTTCACTTCCAGTCTGAACAATCGGATGCTCTTTATACAAATGGTTAGCTATGCGACCTCAAGCCTTAGTTTCCTCAAGTCTAAAGTAAAAATTGGACAAGATGACTTTTTTGTTGTTGTTAATCTTCACTACAGGATATTTTTCCATTGATTTTTAGAGAGAGTAGAAGGGAGAAGGAGAGACATATAGAGAGAAACATCAATGTGAGAGAGACATATTGATTGGTTGCCTCCTGCATGCACCCTGACCAGGGCTGGGTATCAAGCCTGCAATGGAGGTATGTGCCCTTGAGCTGAATCAAACCCAGGGCCCTTCATCTGAGGGTGGATGCTCTATCCACTGAGTCAAAGTGGATAGGGCAAGGTGACTTCTAAGGTTCCTTATAGCTCATCCATCTGACCTACGTTAGCAACAGGGAAAACATGCTCCTCTTGACCTGAGTCTCATGGTTAGAATTCCTAGATGGGCCCTGACTCTACAGAGAAAGAGTCTGATTCTGAAGGTCTGGTAGCGGTGTGTGTGTGTGTGGGGGAGGGGGGGCAGGCGGGTAGGGGGGTAGGAGTGCTAAAGTTTTAACAAGGATTCCTAATAATTCCAATGCTTCCAGTCCACTGGCTAGACTTTCTCTGCCCTTTGGAGACATTTTCTTTGTCCACGGTCCAAGGTGGCTCTGTGGAGTGGATGGAATATGGGAGTATCAATGGCAGCAATTCAGTCTTTTTTCCTTGGCACATAATTAAGACTTATCAGAGGCATAACTAGTGACAAAGTCTACCTGGAGCATCTGACACACAACAGATGACTTGGGTAACAGCTCAACAAGTAACCCCCTTTCTTCCTGTGCCTTTACCAGGTTACAATAGCCAGCTCACTGATACTTCCCAGGTCCTGAACTAGGGCATTGTAATCTCTTGGTCAGATTGGCCTGTATGAAGAGGTGATGCCTTAAACTTCTTCTGGTACCCAGTCCCATCTGGGGCTCCAAAGTCTATATAACCCCGTGTTTGGTATTCCTGAGACTCAGGTATCGTTCCCCACTATAGGAATAGCTAATATTTACTAACCGCTTAGTAGGGGCCTGGCACTGCACTATTTACCTTCACTTCACAGATGAGGAAACTCATGTAATATAGATTAAGTAACTTTCCAAAGATCACTAGTAAGGCAGGATAGGACATGGACCCTGGCAGTCTTACTCCAGAGCCATAGTCTTTACCACTGTCCTATAGCTGCTTTGAATCTCATCTCAAGATCTTCAACTTTCAAACAAAACAACCTCAAAATCAGATGAGACTTAGCAAAGAGTGCCTCAAAACGCTTAAACTGATTTACAAATAGAAAATACAATTAGAATTTAATCTGAGCAGGCAATGTGCCCATCAAGAAATTGCGACAGGAAGCTAATTTTGCTACAAAAGATTAAATGTGATATTTAATCCCTGGCTGCTAAGCCTGAAGTCACTTTTACACTGGATTGAAATTCAGAGATCTTGATTCTTGTCCTAGCCTATTGTTTCCTAGCTGTGAGGCAGCAGGCAAGTCAATAGACTTAGTTTCTTCATTAAAAAAAAAATCTTTATTATGGAAAGTATTACATATGTCCCCCTTTTTCTCCCATTGACCTCTTCTACTCCACCCTCACCCTCTGCCCCAGGCCTCCAACCACCCTGTTGTCTGTGTCCAAGTGTTATGCATATATGCATACAAGTTCTTTGGTTTATCTCTTCCCACACACCCTCCCCAATCCCTACCTTCTCTCTGAAATTCCACAGTCTGTTCCATGCTTCTATGTCTCTGGATCTATTTTGTTCATCAGTTTGTTTTGTTCATTAGATTGCACATATGAGTAAGATCATATGATACTGGTTTTTCTCTGACTGGCTTATATCACTTAGCATAATACTCTCTAGGTGCCTCCATGCTGTCTCAAAGGGTAAGAGATCCTTATGTTTTTACTGCTGCATAGTATCCCATGGTGTAAATGTACCACAGCTTTTGTATCCACTCATCTACTGATGGGTACTTAGGCTGTTTCCAGATCTTAGCTATTGTAAATGAACATAGGGATGCATATATTCTTTCTGATTGGTGTTTCCAGTTTTTTAATATATATTCCTAGAAATGGGATCACTGGGCCAAATGGCAGTTTCATATTTAGTTTTTGGAGGAAATTCCATACTGTTTTCCATAAAGGCTGTCTGTACTCCCACCAGCAGTGTACTAAGGTTCCCTTTTCTCCACATCCTCACTTGTCATTTGTTGATTTGTTGATGCTAGCATTCTGACAGGTGTGAGGTGATACCTCATCATCGTTTTATTTACTTCTCTCTGATGATCAGTGATGTTGAGCATTTTTTTCATATGTATCTTGGCCATCTGTATGTACACTTTGAGAAATGTCTATTTCGGTCCTTTGCCCATTTTTATTTTTTTTATTATTTTATTTTATTTATTTATTTTTAATTAGAATAAATATTTTAATATCCCTCTTCATCCTTTCTATATAACAGAAGTGTCAACCAAATTCATGATTGACAATGACAGATCGAAACACACACATGCAATTGGTGCCAGTGAGAGCTTTATATATATCGTGAATGCGTGAGTCAACTTAGCCTTTTATAGATATAGAATAAACTTGATTGATTAGACCTGTTTTCTGATGTAGCTAAACTTTTTCCCAGCCCAGTGAAGCACCCCAACTTCTCTTTCAGGTAGTTGTCAGCAAGGGAAATGGGGGAAAAGAATAAACAGGTAGGATTGCAACTGGAAGGTTTTTGCACAGCTAGAGGAAACATCAGCAGGATGAAAGGGCAATCCACTGAATGGGAGAACGTGTTTGCTGGGGCATCTGACAAGGGATTAATACCCAAAATGTATGCAGAATTTATAAAATTCAACACCAAAGAATAGTCCAATTAAGAATGGACGAGAAAACCAAGATGACGGCATAGGTAAACACCAGAGTTTGCTACCTCGAGCATCCACTTCAAAAATATAACTAAAAGACAGAACGGACATCATCCAGAACCACAGGAAGGCTGGCTGAGTGGAAGTTCTACAACTAGGAGGAAAGAGAAAAGCATACCGAGATTCAGAGGAGGGGCAGTGCTGAAGTAAAATACTAAGGTGCGAAGTGCATGCGGACTGGGCTGACGGCTGAGGGCGCAGTTGTCTGTTTCAATTGGGAGGGAGTCTCAGACTCTGAGCTCCAGATCCTGGCGAGTCTCTAGGGACCCAGACTCAACGGGAGAAGCAGAACTGTCTGGCTTCAGTCGGAACTCGAAGGCAGCTTTCTCTCTGAGTTTTGCAGCGGTTTCTGGGATTCTGAGAGGCAGAGTCCCTGGGGACAGGACTGAGAGCAGCCATAACTGCTCACTCCGCCCTTCCTGTAGATCCCCCTGGGACCTGCCCCGCCCAACCCCTGCGCAGAGGCATTTGCCGGATAGCCGCAGGCAAAGG